TGGAAAACACGACGCATTTACAAAAGGGGAACTGTTTGCAGACAAGAGAAAGGAACCTATAGGGACTTCTGAGCTTGTGCCGCGTTTGCAGCTCAGCTAACGAATGTGCTAGTTGCTTAAGAACTTTTTTTTTTTTTTACTGTTAGCATCTAAGCTAACATGCTTGTGAATGCCTTAGTCCCACATAAGCAACTAAGCTAACAAGCTTGCTAGCATGGAGAGCTTGTCCCCTAAAGTCTTAACTGAATTATATGATGTTCAATCCTGCTTGCACTTGCTATTAGCTGCATTATATGTTCATAAAACACACTAAAAATATATAATATACAACAGCCATTAGAGATAATCTTCCACTGAAGAAAACCTGAACCCTATTGTCTACTAACTACTGTGAATAATAAGGTGTTTCAGTTGTTACACATGGCAGACACCATGGAGGACTAGGGATCTAAAATACAGCAATAGAATACAATAATTGCATCTAAGATAAGTGATTCAAATCTAAGCAAAGGATCTTTGTTGCATGTCATCGACCTCTTTCTCTCGCTACGTTTCCTGTAAAAATCTCCCCAATTGACCTTCAAATAACTTGGCAAAATGTCAAGATAATAAGTACAGGCATGCTTCACCTCACTCACTCCTATTTTGCAGCCGGAAAATAGTCAATGCTGTGCACGGCAAGATACATTTTTAGGTGTCTTGTTAATTGATATTAATTTATTCCCTCTGTTGGACAAATCTCTCTCCGACTCCCCCTCGGTGTTATGATCTCAGGACCAACGCACAGGCACAGCTGCTGTGAATGAGTAAGTGTCCCTGAGCTCCTCATAACGTTCGCACAACCCAACCCACACACTTAGCCTGCTTTCACACAACAACCAGCCTTAGGGTTGGCTTGAGTCCAAAAAATATATATGAACGTTTATATATAAAGCAAAAGAAAATCAGGTAATATTCAGCTGCTGATTTGTCAATGTGTATTCTGGGGGTATATTGTGGGAATTTCCTGGTGAATATGTAAGTTTGTGTTAGTGATTTATGCCATGCATTGAAATGAAACAATTTGCAGTTGACACAGGGATCAACTGAAGGAGTCTGCAATGTCCGTCTGAAACACAAAAACACACACACACACACACACACTGCTTCCAGCCCTAATGCATACACCCAGATGGACAGGCATAAACTCACACACACAACCAGCAGCCCTGCTAACCAGCCACTACAGACGGAAAGAAGGCAGACTGAGCCTGGAGGTGGAGAATAGCAAAAGGCAGGGGCAGTGTTGGGGTAGTAATACTACCACTCCGCTCTGCTCCTCATCTGGCTCGCCTGTGGACAAAGCCCATCCGTTAGAGTGCAGGTCACGCACAGTCAGGAATACAGATGGGCTGCCGAGCCTTTCCGTCCTGCCACTCAGTGATTCGAGGGTTGAGCTTAAACAAGAAGAGCTATCTGCACGTGTATGAGCAGAGAGCATTGTGCACTGGCTTTGTTCCGTTAGGATGAATGCATTTGTGGCAGTGTGTTTACACACTTGACACGGTGCACATGTTGTTGTGCCTTTGTTTGCTGCTTTTATTGCAAGGTGTTTGCAGGCCTGTGTGTGTTTTTTCATTCCCCGATCGACCGTGTGTACCTAAACCTGTGTGTGTGTGTGTGTGTGTAAACAAGACACCAGTGCAAATGTCCTGTTTGGGTTGCAGAACACAGTGTGCTGTGGCAGCAGAATAGAGCAGCACCGGTGGACAAACTGTTCGAATAAATCCTTTGTAGTAAAAGCGCAATAATTCAAGACTCGTACACAAATCAGCGAGTGTCTGGTCCGTCAGCGCTCTGCTGTGTGGTCGAGTGCAAAGTTCTTCATTCAGTTGACAGTGCGAGGCTCCGGGTTGGCTCTAAGTTCCCCTGCAGTTTCAAGATAATGCGCTCGGTGCAGCCACAGTTTACCCTCTGACTTAATCTGTCCTGACGTCCAAATTGAAGCACAGTAGTTAGAGGGAAGAGTTGCTCTTGGTTTAACAGCAGTGGTGCAAAGTAACCAAGTACAATTACTCAAGCACTGTTAAGTACAGATCAGAGATACTTATTGCATTTTCTTTGACCTTTCCACCTGGAAAGAGGTAACAAGGGAGGCTGGAAAAAACAAAAAAAACCTGGTGGAGAACTTTGACATGGGAACAGAAATGGGCTGATCTAACTTGGTGCGATGCACAACGTGCTGCACAGGACGGGACCAGATGGAAGCGGACAGTCGCAGCCTCGTATTCCACAGGGAATGAAGAGGATTAAACTATTCTTCAAAAGAACAAATAATAAACACCCAAACATCATACAAAGTTTGCTTCATTAGCATCACCCTGAGCAGCTACAATATTAAAATATTGCAAACTTGTTAATGCAGCCGCATCAATAATTTATTACGAAAATAAAAACACTGAAAGACATCTGCAAAATGAGCACTTTTTTATGCTTTGTGATTTTCTAGATTTTTCTTGTGAAAAATGCCATTAAAAGAATAAAACCAATCATGAATTCATCCTACGAACAATTATCGACTGATAGATAATCCAACACTATTAAAAACACGTGACATGTGCCTCCATTATGTTGAACACGGGGGATGTAGTTTATTAGAGTCGATCCTGCTGCCATTAAAACACAGAATCTACAACATTAAATAGTCCCCTAACAAGTGCACTACTTCATGTTTGAATAACATTTGCAAAAACCTACACTGCCCAGGGTTATTAAGGAAACAAACAAAAAATTGCCTGTAATTTTTAGGCCACGTCCTCAGTAGAAATTAATGGGTTTGGGGCTTATGTGGCGTTCAGGCCATATCGGAGTTACCGTACATATGAGCTTCTGAATTGTAAATGGCATTTATGACCACTTCAAAGTCGCAATCATGACTGGGAATCAGATTTTTCTGAAAGCTCCAATTTTCAACTTGGAGCTTACTAATATGGAAGTGCCTGAAAACCGAGTAAACACGGACACATTACATCAGCTGAAGTGTCCTCAATGTGACCAAACCATCATTTTAGAGGACGTAGTGTTAAATTGGTAATGAAGACTATTTTGAACTCTCACATGACCAACTCTGCAGTCACAAAGCTGCCCTGAGTTGACCGGTGAGGTCAACAGTCACCATTCATTATCATGGGAACCACTCCTACATACATACATACATACAGTATATATAGCTTTTACTCGTAAAGGACGTTTTTACATTGTTTCTTTTACATGCGTTACAGCTCTTAGTACTTCTTCCAGTGCCGTTTTAAAAGCCTGATTCCTCTATGCCTAAATGCTCCAGTTGATCATCTAAAAGAGGATCCTTGAAGAATTAAATGTGTTAAATATGTGGTGAAATGAAAAAAAACTTCTCTGAAAGTTAAAAGCCAGATTGAATTTTTTTTTTTTTTTTTTTTAAATCTTAACCCATATAACTATCATCAAAAGCACTCACAGCTCTGCAGATTCAAAATTTGAAGGCTTCTCCACGTCTCCAGTCCGTCTCATGTGTCGGTACACAGGCGGCGACATGTTCCCGACGTGAGACAGCTTGGTTTTAATTTGCTGAAGAAGATTGTTGTTGACCAGCAAAGCAACTAGCCTCTTCATAAATGTTTCACGATTCTGTTGCTCGTGTGTGTGTGTGTGTGTGTGTGTCTGCTTATCTCACCAAAGACAGCAGAGCTCTTACAGCTTGAGGGGGAATCAGTAGGCAACACCACTGATGAGAAGATGCGTGTGTTTGCTAGCACGGCAAATATATGTAGATGTGTGTTCATTTCACTTCAGCTGTTCAGGCACTGCGGTCAGAGCACTCACACCACCTAGTGGCATTGAGGCCTCGCATCGTTTCGCCTTCAGACGAAACCGCAGGAAAGATGAAAAGACTACCACCGCAGTACTTAAACATGTAGACTGATCATCCATTCCACCGTCTCATTCACAACAACGCAAGCATGAGGTAGAACACCAAAAAGGAGTCGCGTGGAGTTAAAAAGATCACTTTGGCAGAAGCAAATCTCGCACTCGACAGTGGCCAAGAAAACAACAGGTTGTGGAACAGCACGTTCACAGGAGAGAGGCAGGGCTGAAAGAGAAATAAGTCGAGCTTGGTAAAAATGCATCCAGAGACGGAAGGGGGGATGAAAGGATGAATCGTGGGGAACCTGCAACATTCATGTTGTTCTCCCCCTCAGGCTGTGCAGCTTCACAGAGAGGCTTTTGATTGGCAGGTGGAAAACCATTAATCCCGTGTTCTGCATCCTTTTGTCCCTCGTTCTTCCCGCCCTCGCTTTCTTTCTCAGTGGAGGACATCTCATCAATCTTGTAAACCTACAGGAAGCGCTGCTCTCCTCCTCCTGTGTACCCCTCATCCACCACCTCGCCACTGATCATCAGAGGGAACACACTCTCCGCCTTTGACTTCCTACAACTGACGAGCCACCATGTATAATGTATAGAGGTGAATGAAAGGCAGAGGTTCCTATCTACATAAAAGCTCTTTGGAATGCCACCTCCGTCTAATCATATATTTGCATGTGGTGAAACGAGATATAATTGCATGTTATTTGCGCACTGTTTACCAAGCGTGTTACCCGACAATTCCTGACATTTCAGAGGCTGCATTTGTCCCCGCTTGTTGTATCAGTTGACACAGCTGTCGCCAGCGTTGGAATCCGTGTTGCCAGATAGTATTTCCCTGCATTCCCCAGGCTCCCCCGAGCTATTTGTAAGTTTGACTCTCGTGTAGCGACTGCAACATGAATCTTTTGTTTCCATTATGCAGCAGTCAGTCAAGCTGAGGGGCCGTGTCCACGAACTGTCACCACTGAGTGCTGTTAAGTATACCGACCACGCTTCGGTCTCTCTCTCTCTCTCTCTCTCTCTCTCTCTCTCTCTCTCTCTCTCTCTCTCTCTCTCAAGCATTCGGCGGCTGCCACATGCATGAATGCCAAAAGGAAACTAAAAATCACTTCTGTCCTGCAGCACTAAATGCTTCAAAACATTCAACCAAACGGCAAAAAGAACCATTCCTGTTTAAACAACTCAAGGAAGAAAACAGAGGGGGGTGTACTGAAAGTAGCAACTTTTTTTTTTTTTCTTTTCTTTTTGGAGATACAACTATTTACATGTGACCAAAGACAATGTCCTTGAAACGGGTACAAACATATTTTTTTTTTTTATCCTCTTCCTGTCGATTTTTGTTTTTCCAAATAACTCAGAAATATCATATAAAATAAAAAATATCAGCTTCAGGGAAAAAAGTAGTCTAAGCATTTTTTTTTTGTTTTTAAATGTCCATTAACCGCTATGTACAGGAGTATTTACAGTCTAAAATTTCATTCAGACCAGAACTTTGCAAAGTAATTAACAGTAAACACGGTTGCGACCGTGCTCACCCAGCCCTACACACCAGAACTAAATCTGCGTGTACAGAAATCAGTGGTCGTACACGTGAGCAGCACATTACAGAGGCGTATTGAAGGTTCATGTGCATCATTACAGGTAAAATGACACCAAAAGAATAAATAAATGGGAGCTTATGAACGTTTTCCAACGCAGACACCATGATGCAATGAGAGTAACACAAAAGGTGGCTGGACGTACAGAAACTAGAAGCCGTGAGGAAATACTCCACATCGGTTAACATGACAAGAAAAATTTTCTATTAAATGCGGAAAGTTTTGATGAAATTTTGCGCTTTCAAACCATAATTCAGCCAAGTCTGTTACACTGAGCTGTGACACCTGGGATATATCTTAACAAAACATGGCGTCTCACTAGGTAAAGACTTTGCATTTACAAAAGCAGAAGACATTAAATTAAATACATTTCTAAAAAAAAAAATTAACTTCATTATAAATTCAAAAGGAAGCACAACAATCAATTTTTTCGATCACATTTGTTATATCTGCGAGTTTCAATGCATACTGTACTTACATACTCTTGAATTGATTGGAATTTAAATAAAGCTAAAGTAAAATGTGAGGAAGTTGATAATTGGTGGAAGGAAATCTGAAGTTCACAATAATCTCCAGGTGTCCTCATCGGTCACTAACGGACATCCTATCAAATCCAGCATGACGCGCGGTCCTGATTCCTGTTAAACTGATTCATAATCTGGGTGAGGGAGAACAAAAATGCCTCAAAAGGAAAAAAGAAAAATCTAAAAACATAACGCTCAGGCGACTTGCTAACTCGCACTTTACAAAATTAACGGAAACAATGAGAAGATAAAAAATCGAAAAGAATTCCCTTAAAACATTCAAGCCAACCGCAAACATTTAGTTAAATGGATGTATGCGTTCAAAATCATTCCACACGAGTTTAGACACAGAGACGTCATTCCAACAGCCATGAAAGTGATTGTTTTTCATGCTAATCAATGATTTCACCCGTGGCGTTGATGCGGGTGAGTGTCGAATAAAATGTAACGATCCATTAAATTTTGATTCAGGAGGTTCACACTGCAGCTAAGGCGAGCAGGAACCGAGAGCAGGCAGCAGGACAGGAGACTCCACTTCAGTGGGCCCGTTACTGTGGAACTGTCCCAAGAAGAGGTCTGAAGAAGAGTCCACCTTCACGTTAAGACGTTCCTAGCCTCTGACGAATCTCGAGCCGACGCTGAATGGGACGTTAATGGAGTGGGAACTGCATGTCTGTCAGCTAGCAGGGCTTTGGTTCAGTCTGTGCTCCAGAGACGGAGTGAAACTTTTCACTGTGTCGGGTGAACTGGTGAAGTCAAAGGAATGCGGCCGAGTCTCCGGCGACCCCCCCCCTCCCCTCCCCTCCCCTCCCTCCGGGATAGCCTGGCATCCCATTAATGTGCATGAGTGTGAGCTCCCCTTCCGGCCGTCTGTTAAAGGTGCTCCAGGTAGTCGATGGCCCGCGTGATGGACTTCTGCCCCGTGGTGCCCATCGCACACTGTGTGCGGAGACAGAAGGAGACAAACAAAAAAAACAAACAAGCGTGAGAGAGCGCCGACGTGTACTACTGTACTTGTGAGGTCTCGAGGCGCCGACAGTGAGGATTTCTTTTGAGCTTCTGTTCACTTGAAAAGGCGATATTTATGAAACAGATGGCTCCGGTCTTCAGCTCTGACAAGACGAGTCACTTTCAAAGCCGCTACAAAACGCACATCTGGGACCGTGCAACTGTTAGGTTTAATATTAATGCTCGGCTTATTCCGAAATCATCCTTCATATCACTACTTGAGCTGTGCTGCTCGGATACACAAGAATCATATTTAAATGATAACAATGTATTGGTCACATTTTGTATGGTAATGGCACATTACTGCCACAAAGCCTTTTAAAAGTGCCAACTGGAGGTTGTATTTCAGACCGCCGAAGAAGCTATTGAGATACATTTAAATGGGCGACAATCACAGAGGCTTTTTGGAGATTGTTTTTTACATTATTTCAGACATTATGCATTCCTCAATCTCTGCGTTAATGAAATAAAAGCTTTAGTTTTCATCTACATTATAGTTTTTTTCTCAGAAAGTCGCCAAATTGGAGGTGCAGAGAAAAAGAGAGCAAATACTGCAGTTCTATGTGAAACTAAAAGGAAATACCAAACATGTGCTTCTCCCTCGATGAGCACAATTTAAGGGCCTTTTGTGACTTCAATACATTTTCTCTGGAGCTAGGATGGCATCAGCATGTTTAGGTGTTTACAAAACAAAGCTCTGATGTCACACTGTCATTTAATTCTAATGTTTAAGTCTTGTGTCATGCGTCATCATGCAATGCTGATGAAAGAAGGCTCGTCTCGACAGCCATACTCACAGTGAGGTTCATGAAACTCAGGAACTTCTTCAGCATTTCTGTCATGATGGAGAAATCCCCTTTCGGTAGATTCTCTCTCACAGTAGTCACATTTTTCTGAGGGGGGCAGAAAGGTCGGTGAGCAACGGCACGAATATCTTTTGAGTCGGAAGATAACCTTAAATGTTGTGCATGCGTATCTGATATTCTCACCTGGCTTCCCTGGCACAGGCAGCCCAGCAGCAGAGCGGTGTAAGAGGCAACGATGCTGTCCTCCATATGCTTGCCTGCATGCTGCAGAGCTGCAGCAAACACACGGGAGAAAGAACAATGATACATACATATACTTTCCTCTGCATTGTAGGAGGACACCCAAGTACTGGGTTATGGTGACATTTTAAACATGCATGCTTCAGCTGAGACACTGATGCCCTGAAATAATAATAATACTCATCATTGTTACGGTTGTTGCTCTCGCTCTCTCTCGACACTGGGTTTTATAGATTTATAAAGGCCCTTACTGTTTGTTTTCTTTGAATTTGGGTTCTTGTCGAACACTTGATTGAATTAAACTGCAGGTGGCGGGATTTTTTTTCTTCTGATTTTGGAAAATCTAATTTTTCTTATTGCGCACCCACAGCACAGAATAACACGCAGAACAATTCAGAGCTTACATCACTTTAATCCTGAGGGCGATTACAATTTGTTATTTAATCCGATTTGAGTTAGTTTAGTTTCCATTTTAGTTGATTAATCGGCCTTAAACTATAACTGCTTTATATATTATCAAGTTTCATCTTTGTTTTTTCTTGGTGCCTACCGTTTGTTGCTTTTCTACATTTCCAGAGTTCAAATAAAGTTTGAATGAATACGTGTTTTACTGCTGATTAATGACCATATCGAACAGAACAGCAACAATCTGAACAGGTTTGCATTCCTCCATTTGAGAATCAACCATACAAACACTGATATGCTGTTCAGAAGCACATTTAGGTGTTGCAATTGAAGTGACGCCACTTGTGTCTTATCAATTTTCTATAGAGCCGCTCAATAGCAGAGAAATAACATGGCTGCCAGTGCTGTGTCTAATGTTTTTTTCGATGTCTTAGTATCAGACAATGGTGGAAGAATGCCAGCTGAGAAAGTGGAACTTCAGTCCAACATCAATAGATTAACCGCTTCAGCTCTAGTAAGTGTTTACAGTTTGAAGCCTTTGTAATGCAGTTTTGTGGAAGAGAAAGAAAGCCAATTGCTCCAATCTAAATTAGTTAAAAAGGGAAAAAAATGAACGTAATGACGTCATAATCAGCACAGTAATCAGCACTGCAACATTAAACGCATGTATCTGGATTATGCTAAAAACGGCTCGTCTCACATGCACACGGACACAAACGTCTACCTTTATTTAGATCCAACTCTTCATCATCCTCCTCTTTCTTCTCCTCCTCTTTCTTCTCGGTTTGGCTGTCGTTGGGTTCGGCTGCGACCCACTGGATCTCTCCCGACGTCTCCTGCCACTCGCCACTTTGGTCCAGTGCCGGTTTGGGCGCCTCGCTGATGAGGTCGTCAGTTTTCGCCTCAGCCAGGATGGCAGCGCGCTCCCTCTCCAGGAAGAGCTACAGTTTGGAGAGGAATAAACAGATGTGAACTCCAAACACAAACTGCTTTTAATTGGAGCCAAGTAACAGCAGATTTTTAATAATTTAAAAAGGGAATAAAGGGATAGCAGTTAATCATGATAGCCACGGTATTTCTTCATGGCGAGGTCGGAAAGCCACTTGGTGTACCAAAAACTCCGGTGACAGTTAAAGTTAATCATTACTTTACTCTCAAAGGTTCCTCTCAGACTTTCACAAAACTTTGCGCTAATAAGTCAGTTAGGCAAGGAGTTTGGTAAAGGAATCAATTATAAAGCAGAATATTAATAAAATAAAATTTCTATCTTGAAATTGAAATCCACAAATTGGTGCGCATCGATCTACACTTGCTCATTATTTAGTGTTCTGCCAAATGTATGAAACTTAAGCCTTTACTACTTTCCCTCATGACTGCTCATCACTAACGGTTTCTGCTCACATCCTTACTAAAAACCCCACACGGATAAATGCTAAAATATGTATTAATGAGTCCTGGCACAATCCTACCTGCACCAGAGCAGCCAGAGCACCGGAGGGCTTGGGCCTGACAGCCGCTTCTCCCTGAGTCTCAGCTATGCTCGGCGGTACTGCCGCCGTGTCGGACTGTGTTGGGTCAGCAGGCTGCATCAGGCTGTCTTCCAGACAGGTGTCATCGACTATGTACTCCATGTCCACCAGACAGTGGCGGTTTCTGGAGCTGTACTCCACAAGATTGATCAGTAGACCCAGACCCTGGTGAACACAACAAAACGCACAAATGAGACACACGTTCATACGGGGACAGACTTACACAGAGCCAACACGGGTTGGAAGAAATGTCTTTTTCACAATTATGTGGCGTTTTGTTTTGCTCAAGACAATCTTACCAGCACTCGCACGTCAAAGCGCTGCTCCTGGGGGATGTAGCGGGGAACTCGGAGGACGCAATTTAGAGCAGTTGCGGTCAGCTGTTCCTGCTCACCTGTCTTCGTGCTACCCCACTCTGCAGATAAAAGCAACACTAAGAAACTCTGCTCATACTAGTCAATACCGTGCCAAGTACCTGAAGCCTGAGTGATACGGTCCAAGTATCAAGTTTGAGCACATTAACAAGAATATAGCCCAAAACTGTTCATGCAACACTTCAGACATACAATAAGACATCATACTGAGTCATGTCCAGTTCCTAACATCCAGAAAATGCCAGAGAAAAGCAACAGAAAAGCAAAGCGTATAACGTGGTGGATGAGAATACCATTGTCGTGGGTAAGGTTGAGCAGCACTCCTATGATGGCCCTCATGCAGTCCTCCACAGCCTTGCCCACGTTGCTGAAGCTGCAGTGGGGCAGCGCCGCCCCCGACAATGACAGAGAGCTGTTGTTCAACGCCCTGCTGTAGCGCTGAATCATATCCTCGCAGTACCGCAAAGCTCTGGTGAACGCAAGGAAAACACACACTGATGAGAGGAACAAAGAGATACGGCAGAGATTACGTACATTTTGAGGAAACCAAGCGAAAGGATGAAGGACTGAGGAGGAAGAGATTAAGAGGATAAAAAAAAAAAAAACACAGATTCCCTTTATATGACAAAACACTGAATGCTATTCTGTGTTTAACAATACAGAAAAATAAATCCAAGCTTTATCTGGTCGTTATGTTACTATGTATTATTGCATTGACAGACACTTAAGTAGAAAGACCTCCAACGCCCCCGAGGACTCCGTTTAAGATGATGGGTACAGTAGTGTTACAAAAAGTAGAGCGGTAAACTGAATGAACTGTTGATATACCAGACAGTGCCTCAGTATGTGTTCATGTCCAGTCAATAATAGCTCCAAGCTGTGCTCACCTGGCAGAGGACACGATGAGTTGTGACTCTTTGTAGGCAATCAAGTAACCCTGGTTCTCTGGGTTCTGCACTGTCACCTGTTGGCAGAGGATGAAAGAGAAATAAAGTCAATAGAGGGGAAAGAACACTGAACGGCTCCAAAATGAATCAACAAACAGAAAAATGGCAGGAGACACTTTCGCTTTGATCAGACAGATAGTTGATAAGAAACATATTTTTAAACACAGCCTTTCATGAAAAGGTAACAATAAAAGTAACCATCCACTTCACAGTACTCAATTACTCTCGAGTTTCACTCCTGTGCGTCTTTTGGTGAAAGAGGAAATCCGACTCGCAGTACTTACACTCTCAAGTACTCTCAGACACCTCTCAGCCCCCCACAAAGATGCCACCAGGTTCTCCTTGTCGTCCTCTTGGCTCAGGTTCTCCACATACTCTTTAACTGTGGAAACACAAAACACAGATACATCAAAGTCAACAGCTGTGACACTTGATCTGTGAAAGCAAATCTATGAACATCTAGTATAGAGACGTGCAAAGTGCCACTCTGCGTTGTACTCATCCTACCTTTGTCTACAATATGGTCCAAGCCGCCCAGGAGTCGCAGCTCTTCTTTGAACCAATCTCCTGCTCTCTTGGAGGTGAGAGAGAGCAATGTCTCCATGGCTAGGTGGCCCGTCTACAACAGATACAACATGTGAAATCTGCAATATGACACCTATCGCCCATCTTATCAAACCAGAAATCTGACACGCATGAACACATTTTTCATAATTATCTGATAATATTGTCATGGATGCCTGCCTTATAATTTGACTCTTTAATTGGCATCTCCACATAAAATATGATCTAGCTCCCCTATCAATTTGAGCTTACAGATAATGAATATGAAGGAGCTAATGTGAACAGTAAGAAGGGCACCAAAAGACGCTTTTATTGGATCTAAAAACATCAGTGCAGTTCAACAGACTAATCTTCGTGGGACTACCTGTGATTTATTCACAACAACCTTCGGTATAAATATTCCTTTAAATATAACACAATCCACACAAACGGGTGCTTAGTGTTTCCTAAGGAACAAGAGAGTAGAAAAGAGCGCGGTGCATTAAAAACAAATTAGACATTTTATGCTCAATTTGACAGATTAGGTTTTTACTAAACCATTTCCAATGAAGCCATTCAAGTATGTATGAAGTTCTGCTTGTTAAAGAAAGAATCATTGAACCCAGAGAAGGTTGATAAAGCTGAACTAAGTACATCCAAAAGGTGAAGCGTTTTTTTTTTATTTCAGTATTTAACCCACCGTGATGTTTTCCAGGTCGAGGTGCTTGTTGTGCACCGTCTCACACAGCTTCCGGATCTTCTCCTTGACCTTTTCCACCTCCTTAGCGGTGAGCTGCTCCTGGTCGGCTGAGCAGTCCTGGTCCATCTCCAGCAGCTTGATCATAAGCTCCAGACAGGCCCTGTCCAGATCCATGTTGAGACGATCCCGACTCAGGATGTACATCAGCGCAGCCGTGCACAGAGCAAGGTTCTGATGGAACGAGGGAGAAAGACGTTTACAAAGTGCCGTGCAGAGGGGAGACATTGTGTTCAATGTCTCTCCTCTGCACGGTTTGAGCGCCCTGGAGGAGCTGGAACAGCTCCCCACTGTCACTGCAGCGTTCTCCAAGTTAGAGGAACTTTAGCTCGGAGGGTTCCACATAGTTGTGCATGTGCAGCCAAGAAGAATTAGCACTAGAAATAATGCACACAGAGAAAATGTTACACTTTCAGGATAACTGAAACTGTACTAAAGCTCTCGGTGCTTTGACATGAATGTAATAATTAAAAAATGAATCATGACTTTCAAATAACTGCAGGCATGTAGATACTAAACATCCACTTCATTAGCAAGTATTGCGGAGGTGTTGAACAAGATGCTTAAAACAAACTAACACTTTTATAAAGCTTCTCATGAACACACTGCTATTGCTACTTATGAACGTTAAAATAAGCAACAAAGTCCACAGGACAGACGATGACAAAGTGAACTTGAAGAAAGAGGTGACAGAGGAGACTTCTACTGACCGGGTGTTGAGGAGAATCACTGATCATTTTGAAGACCTGCGCCACTTTCCCTCTGGCCCGCAGGTGCATCCTGAAACCAGGCATGGCGCACCGTGTGGCCAGGCTGATTATACTGAGGAAGAGGAGCAGAGGATTACTGAAATGAATGAGTCAGAATGTGGCATAGCCCAGTTCCAAAACTTTTGTTTTGTACTTTTCACCCTCTTCTCGCTGCTTGTGTCAAAAAATAAATAGTGCAGCACTAAAGGAGGCAGGACTCCATGCAGCATTCACTGAAGTCAAGGTTGTCTCTCCTGAATGGATTTCATTCTCACAACAGGGCGGCTGTGTGCTTTACCAGACTAAAGAAAAACATGAGCTTTATCTCAGCACATTACCCCAAAAGAGGGTGAAAATAACAGTGAGATGCACAGAAAAAGAAAAAAGAGCAGAGACGATTGCAAAATATAGGGACACACATGCTGCCATTTAAAAAAAAAAAAAAACGATCACAAGTGCAAAGCCTGTTGGTATGTTGCATGTAAACAAGACATTTAAAGATATATACTTTGTACGACTACCTCCTGTTGCTCTCTTAGAATAACTATCATTTTTTTGTTTTATTTAATGAAGTATAAAATGTCAAGCTTTGATCAACTGAAGCAGCTGTTCGTGTAATTGCTTTTATAAATAGGCCGGTCTGATACATGAACAAATGTTAGGTGACAGGTGCTTGTACCATTTAATCAACTTAGCGAGGTATTTGGTAAAAAAGAAGGGCGGCACCAAGTGTTTCATTCCACTTACCTAAGGCATCTCGTGTTGAGTGGCTGGCTGCTCTTCAGCCCCGTCTCCAGGTACTCAAAATCATCTGTGAACTCCTGATTCTCTCCGAACTCCACGACGTCGTTGAAGTGTTTCACATGCTGCACCACCGTGTACAGCTGGTGAAAGGGGAATGGGGTTAATTACAGCTAATTGGGAAACCGCACATCTGCCCAGAATCACAATCCACTCAAACAGGGACAGACACACCACCGCTATGAGAGGATTGCTCTCATTGTTAAAAATCCTCTTTATCGGTTCAATTACCAGAAATAGCTGACTGTGCTAATGCAACCATCATCAATAAAAGATCAGCATGTGGAGTTGGGGCCAGATCAGCAGTTGACTCTGTATGTTTACCAGAGTCAACAGTCATGCTGTGTGTGTGTGTATGTGTGAACAGCACGACGCAGGAGAGAGGACCCGGGTTTAAGATAACACCAGTGTGCAGTGACAGCTTAGCTGGAGCCATTTTACCTCAGGGGGTCTGTGGCTAACAGCCTGATCTGGGGCCCAGAAGGCCCATCTGTAAACGAGACAAGCTGGAGGAGATTTTAAATTAACAGCTACAGTCCTCAGCACTACCTCCAATCCAAAAAGGGCATCAAACAAACACTGTATATGTATATGTATAACCTGCATTAATGGGTAACGGAAGCTTCGCCGAGTATGAAAATAAGATTCAAATCATAGGAGCATGCAAACAAATACTGAAACACAAATAAGCATTAAGTTGCGTTCCTCAGTAGACGTCTAAAAACTTCAGTGTGCTCCAGACTCACCTCCTTGTGCTCCTTCCTGCATTTGAGCGCGGTGACGATGTCCTGGTTGAGTCGCGTGGGGAGGGTCTCTGACTTGATGACTTTGGGCGGCGGTGGAGGGGCTTTGAACAAGCCGTCATCTTTATGAGAGTTGCTGTCCTTGCTGCTGCTCGACAAAACGGCCTGAGGAAGATAAAGAGGCGGAGAAATGGGGCTCAAACCAAAGTAACAAAATCTGTTTAACGACATATCCCCGTGATTTACCACAGCCGAATAGTCGGGTAAACACACACAAGTCTTTAAGAGGTGTTGTTAACATATGTCAGATGAGTTAAAAACTGCTTTTAAATCCTATCTCCTAATGGCCTGTCTCTGAACAAACATTTATTTCCATGGGGGGGGGATTCAACATAGAATATACAAATAAACCCAGGTTCAACCGTGTGAAAAGAAAGAGACTAATTTGAGCAATTAAACAAAACTGTTGACCACTAAGAGACCAATAAACTATATCCTGTGTGGACAGCAGGGAATGGGAACTTCTGGATACAAATAATACTAGTTGTGAGCATTCGCTCACACCCTGTAATATTGTTTGCCTGCTTTGTGCACAAGATGAATGCATACATTAGACCTTTAAACGCACCTTAATTGTGCTGAAATAAAACGCAATAAAGCAAAACTCAACATCAAAAACCACTCGGGGAGCGGAATCTTACCGGAGCGGTTTGAGCTCGTGAAAGTGGAGGCACCGGTTTCTCTTCAGGCTCTGGTTGGTTCCAGTGGCGAGCGTTGTACACAGCTTTAGCAGGGGACTGGAACCAAGAAAGGGTTTAAGAACTGGTTAGTTATCTGAACAGAGACAAAACGCAACACCTGATTTATTCATTTACTGATGGATAACCGTCATCACAACTAACATCAAACATTCCAGGACAGAGCTCAAGTCATTGTTGTGATTTAGCACAACTGCACACACAAATATTGCATCATGCAATCATGATAATAGACCGAGACAACAGCAGCCTCAATGTAGAGCACAATAGTCCCAAAGCGCACAAAACATTTCCTGAAAATGACACGAGTGCGACTCAATTATATATCGCAGAGACAGTGTGCTGGGTTCTGTCGATGATGTGGAAACAGTAAAACACACAGAATTAGGAAGACAGACCACAAATAACCCGAAGCCACTGCAAAACATGATCTAGATAAGCAGAGCATATACGGCCAGTACACACAAATCAAAGCTGAGTTCAGACAAATATGAGCCCGACCAAGAAGTAATATTCAAACCTCAGCATACTGGAAGACCACGGAGGGTGAACGCTACTGAACACACATTTAACCCATTCATATGAGACTGTAGTTCTAGCACACATTATAGCTGAATAAAAATAAAAATCCATAACATTGAATGACTACAAAACTCGTTTTAGTTGACGTTTAGCTTCATTCTAGCCCCCTTGCTCAATTTTCCTCTGGCGCTCTCCTCTCTCCCACTATCTCTGTCTATTTTTAGACACGCTATCCATTATGTTATGTAAATGTCATTTAAATATGAATAACATTAAAGGAAGGCCTGTTTAAAGCCAAGCAGTGCCAGAGCTGAGATCAACTCTGGCCAGGAGGCAGGTTAGATGACAAAATTACTTTTTAGTAAGGCAGAGAAAGACAAATGTTTCTAGCATGCTCACAAACCTTTTTGGGTCCGCTGAAGATCTTTTTGAATCCACTACTAGTGTCCTTGGATTTGTCACCTGACTTTCCTGAGCGTCCTTTCTGCCCCTCAGCACCGCCAAGACTGGAGTCATCAGCGAAGTCAAATGTATCTGTCGGATAAACCAGATTGTTGATGGTGAGAGACAAGCATCGGTGTGTGAATGGACTGGTATGGTTTACAATGCTACAAATACCGTGATCACAATATCACCCAAACTGCACATACGTTAATGAAGAGCAACTAGATAACCATGTGTCTATACATTAAAGGATCCGCTCACCTGTATTGCTGCTGGCCTGGCTGTCCTGAGAGTCACTGGTGTGAGGGCTGTCCACACCGGAGCTCAGAGCAGCTAAGGCTGCAGCCGTCTTCTTGGCCTTCTTCTCTTTGGCCTGGGAGCTCTCCTCATCGCTGTCACTCTCGCTCAGGTCGTCGAAGCCAAAGTACTTGATCTTGTAGTTACTCATGCCCGCCATGCCCCCTTCTGGACCCTCCTCGCCCCCCTGGTCCTCCTTGTCCTCAAAGCCAAAAAACGCTAGCTTGGTCTCAGTCTTGGTCTTCTTGGTCTTTGTCTGGGTGGGTCTGAACCTGGGAAGATACAGTGAGTGGATGCATTTCTTGTTTGTTTGTGTCATTGTTATTTATTGGCTGAGAATGGGAGAGAAAGAGGGGGAACGTGGAGCAGGACAAGCAAAACAAAAAGCACCCATTGAAGCTAAATAAATAATAACAAAACAGGAGTAGAGTCCAAACTTTTGCACAACTCAATGAATACAAAACAAGTCAGACAACTATTCTCAGTGAAGGCAACACAATGTGACTGTTTAGAAACCACTGAAACATGATGCAGTATAGAACTATAACAGACCACACATACACTAATGGCAGTAACGCCAAAGAGCCGACCTCAACAGTCAACGTGAAAACTATAAATTCATCACTATAGTTTACCAATATGATCAGCCTGCTATGCTTCATCCAATCTGAAAATAGGTCCAGCACAGATCTGCATTTAATTTCAGACTATCACAAAGCAACAACAAACTTTGGCAGCGAGTAACACTTCCATGTACATGACATGCCTTATGAATAAAAGCCTTGCAGCAGAGTTTATACTACTTGAATACCACTTCAACTTCACTCAGTCACTGCCAAGAATGTATGATAATGAAATACTTGATAACATTTCCTTTCAAACATCAATATTAAGGCCTATACTGCTCCTCAAGACCTGAACAAATTATATTTTATAACATTCAGTCCAAATGGTGGATCCAGGGAAGTTGAAGACAGGATGATCAAAGCCACACTGTTGTGTGTGTGTGTGTGTGTGTGTGTTAGAAAATGCAGGCGATAATATTACTCCGTATCACCCATTCCCACAATTAAGATTGCTAGATTAGCATCTTTGATTAAAGGATTTTTTAACTCTTAAAGTAATGTTCTTCACAACGCAGGCTGTTGAGTTGCACAGAAATTTAAATTACTTACCTGGTAGATTTGGATGCGGGCGCGTCCGACTTCTTCTTCATCTGGCTTGCTTCTCCGAGGTCAGCAGGGGTAGCTGGGGTGACTAGTTCGTCAATGCTCCGCTCAATCGAGTCCTGGATGGTGACGTTGCACACGGAGAGACAGGAAGGGTGCAGAACCGTGTAGTCCCGTACCCTCCCGCCTCCCCTGCCCGTGGGCTTGGCTGCTGGTTTAGCATTGGCAGCTGGTTTAGCATTGGCAGCGCTACTACTTGCGCTAGCAGAAAGGGCACTGTTGGGTTTATCGTGGGCACTCCCTGTTTCAGTGGGCTTGTTGCTGTTTTCAGCAGGTTCAACGGATGCTTTCTTAGACTGGTTGGGTCGCAGGTATTTCTTGCAGTTTGAGGCCCTTAGGGTGAATGGAGAAGGGGGAAGGCTGTCCACTGCCTCTTTGGGAGGCTCCAACTCTGCACTTTTCTTATTTTCCGACAGCAATTCAGCATAAGAGGAAGAGGTCTGGAAGTCTCTGCTACCGCCTGGTGCATCAATGGACAGTTTAAGGGAGGTGACTATGTTAGGAGCAGAGGAGATTGGCCTCTGGGGCGCTGACAAGTTCTGTTCACCAGAGGGGACTGTGTTTGACAAGGAGGCCTTGCATGCAGGTTTTTGGTTATCTGATGTACTTTTGTACCTGGGCTGGTTATTTTTAACAGCACTCTCTTCAGACATTTGCTTGGCTGTGAATGGAGAGAAGGAATGAGAGATGGTTACATGAAACAGCTGACACTGCGACAACATTGCTTGCAGACACTATCAATTAAATAAACTAATGGAGATGAAAAACAAAATGTCAGTACACAAATCACTGGCAAGACAATCAAGGGTGTTGTTTGGTATGTTGATGGATTGATGACTTACTTGTGAACTTGGCTGTTGAGTTTGCAGAGCCCTGTGCAGAAGTAACAACAGTGGCTGTCCCACCGCTCTGCACTGCAGTGGTCTTAGTCGATGCCCCTTCATTGATTCCCGCCTGGGACACGCTGTGAGGGGTCTTGGACTCATCATCACTGTCGAACCCAAATGGGTCTTCGTCACTGTCGCTGTCATCAAGCCTGGGCCTTTTGGAAAGCTCAGAAACTTCCGGTTTTAAAGTAGGCCTTTTGGCCCCCAACTGAGCCTTGTAGGTGGTCTCCCCCCATTTGGTGGTCAGCGTGGGCTTTTTATTGGAGAAGACTTCGTCAAATTTAGAGTTAGCCTCCCCTCCCTTGCGGTTGTATGTTTTACCGAATCTGGATGTCATGTTGGTTGCTTTATGTTACATATTCCCTGTAAACAGAAGGCAGAGATGATTCAACATTTTAAATATCACTCAAAAGCGTCAAGTAAACGGTGCAAACGTCAGGCAGCGCACAGCTCGACCAATGTGTGTCTGACTGGTTAAGTAAATGTTAAATATCACGCTCGACACGCGGCGTTGGACCACGTTTTAAAACATGCAATCATCCACCATCACACTGGCATGGTTGGATTCATTAACTTGGCGTAAGCTCGAAAGTTATGTATGAACTGTCGGTTGACAGCACACGAAGTTCGCATGGCTGAGTTAGCCCGCTAGCTCGAGCAACATAGCTTGCAAATAACATTACCGCTCGTCTGCAATACGAGGAGCTCGAGCGACTCGGATGAACTTTAGTAAAACTTTGAGTCAATTATATGAACTAGCGTCACACTGACAGGACAGTTAATTTAACTACGTATGTTACCCCTAGCTCGGCCCGCTCCTGCTTGTAAAGTTACTATAAAGTTAGCCGTTAGCTTCACCACTGCTAAACTATGCTAACGTTAGTCCCCTGTTTACACTTCACACTTGACTGCATCAAAGGTGGGAAATGTTGTGTTTTGAATATGATTAAGTAATTAAAAGCATACATTTTAATGCAGAGATTGAGGTTTAAAAACCGTGGCGAGTACAAAAGAATAGCAGCACACACTGTTACCTTCCAACTCCGACGACTAGCTTAACGTCTGCTTGTTTGTTAGCCAGCCGGCTAGGCCTGATCTCCACTCGCTCACAGATCAAGCGGGTAAAGTCCGTTTAAACAACACTAGAAACACAACTCCAACCGCAATATGTCCCAAGAGTAATGCTCGTTATCAAAGAAAAGCGACCAAAACGCACTCGTATCTAGTATAGCCTAAATATAGTGGATAATCCGGACTTTTTGCATTATGTAGTGCTACTGACGGCCATTAAAATATCCCCTCCCTCCTCGATCCCTGGCAAGACCCGAAAAGTAGTGCGCTGCAAGAAGGGCGACAGCCAATCAGCGGAGGGGAGTTTGTCCTGTGCTTCAAGACTCTTTTAGCAAACTTGCTTTTGATTGGTTAACAACTAAAACCATAACAAACGATAGGGGACGCTGGAGGTCCACTTTAGTTGATGATTTAAACTTAAAGACGTGCCAGAAACGAGCATTTCTCTCAAGCTCTTTTGCTTTTAAAATACCTAGTGTATTTCAGAGTGGACTATGTTGTTACTTACTGGAACAACTTTGAAAAAGACCTGGATTGGAAAATATAGGAAATTTATCCTATGAGGAAATATTGACAAATAGTCATTGTCATCACTATTGTCATCATTAACAATGTGGATTATTGATTATTGACTATATATTGTAAAAATATATATATACGTATATGTATGTATATAGTCGCTTGCAAACAAGCTCAACTGAAACAGATAAGTAACCCCAAATAACAAATAATTTGTATTTAAATGGTTCAGTTCACTCAAATTTACAGTTTTCAGAGGTGCATGGCTGTACCACTAGAGAAATATATTTGTTTTATTGTTGTCGTTTTTCCTGTCATTTGAGTGAATAAACCCGTTAAACCACTAATGGACATGAGCAGTATTTAGGGGTCAAATTGGTCTGCCAAGGGGGAAAAACAGATGTTGTTAAGTTACTTTAGTTATTTCATGCTCATGCCAAATTAATTGCATCATTAGGGGTTTAAGTAAGTAAAAAATATATTAAAAAATGAAGTGTACTACTTTAATAAAGTCCCTACATGTGGGCACAATACAGTATAATAACGTATATCTTATACAATCAATAGAAAACACAATTCTTTACAGGGAAGTCGGATCATTGCGTGTTCACTTCACTACACCTGCAGCATACTGAAAAACAGAAGACATATAGATCACCAACACTGGCACTGGTCTGGGGCACAGATGGTGTCCAATGAATGAATAGTGGGTTAGAAACAGCCCGGGTCTGCAGGGCAAATTGGTCCCAACTGTGAAGCATTACTCAGCCCAGAGAGACATCACAACATCTCTTTCAAAGCATGAAAGTCTTTTAAAGATGCGGCATGGGGTCAGCTCTGAAATGGCTGGTCCCAGCTCAGAAACAGAGGGATAGCCTACTAATTTCTCAAGGGAGGCATTTGAAAGGTATTTTTCATTTTATTTAGCCATCTGACCCAAAGTAAATAAAATAACTCTTACTGCAATGGGGTCACAGCTGTTCTCTATATTACTGTAAATAATGCATGATTTCAACGGTTAAGTGACAAATCCATGAACACATTTCTTACTTTTTCATATGAGTCCTGTCTTACATCACAATTAACTAAATGATCAAATCTTCAGGTTCCATCATCGTTATGCAACATTTGGATAAAGAGTATAAAATCACCCTCCATATTCAGTCAGTGTTAAACATACAGATTTTCTTTTTTTTGGCTTCTGAGAGACTGTCACTCCACATCAAGGCTCAGAGGTGGTGAGGTAATACAGCCATAAACAGCCATGCCCCGGGTGACCAATGGTTTTGAGCTAGTCCTGGCAGTTTGGCAGTCATTACTTCTTTCAACAAACAAACTTTACAGCTACGTCCAAACCATTTTGTAATCTCTCTGAATGTGTTGCAGTCTTGGAATAAATGAGTCAGGCATCTGTGCTATTGCCAAGTGAAATAAAAACATAGAACTTCAGTGTTATGTGTAACATCTGCCTGTATATAGTAAATATATTCGGAGGGGTATATTAAGAGGAGAGACTGCAACATTGATACAGAACCATGAGATGGCAGCAACACTTCCTGTCATGCTTCTGTCTCAGGGATTTTTTCTATTTGTTTGTTAGAAATTTTGCACTTTTGGCCTTTGACCGCAAATTAATACATTCATCAATTGGGTGCCCAGTATGCGATAGTATTTAACTCAAACAAGTCAACATATTTTATAATGTCTAGTATAGCCTGAAAATAATGTGTGATTATGATACGTCTGTGGGCTGCATAACATAAAGGGAAAGCATCTGTAACATAGCTTCCATGTGGTGTATGGGAATGGAAAATAGGGTGTGAAGGATAAACATCCACTGGTTATTAGAGGTATGGTCTTAAATTCAAATGGTAGCCACACTGCTAAATGACAAAATGTTCCTCTGTCTGTAAAGCATACTTTTAAAGCTGTTGAAGTTTGGTTACTTCTTGCTGTAGACAGCATAGCAGACCTTTCATTTGAGTAATGGTGGGTTACAATAGAGAAAACAAAAGCTTCTGCACAGTTTTTCCACAGCAGATTTCACGTTTAGTGAAAGAGAAAGACCGTCTTGTAAACCGTGAAGCTTTTTGTCGTGTGTGCTGGCTTCTGTATAGTTCTCATGAGGTCTACTTATCACCATCATCCAAAATGTATGTGGTGAACAAAAATCTCTACCAAAACACTAAGTGTATTCATGCGAGCCACTGCATCGTGGGTCGGATCTCTGTTTGGCTCGCACTCCTGTCTCTGAGGTCAGACTGCAGAGCCCCTGGCCCAACAATAACACCAGACCACTATAAGGCCCATATGAAGGCAATAAAATCAATTTTGACATAAACCCTTTATTTTCTTCTCAGTATACATTACATAACCAACAAACAAAAAACATTCTACAGTACTTTAGAAAATAATTTTAGAAAACAACAATCATACAAATCGGATTTGCCCAGGGAGTCTCTAAATTGCTTGAAACTGCAGTGGAAGGCCTGGCTGAGCATAAGTCCATGTTAAAAAAGAAACAAAACAAGAGAGAGCAGATACAAACAAGATGCCAATAACCATCATTGATCAAAGCATTAAATACTAAAAGTGAAAACAAACACAGAGAACAAAGTACAGGACTGAGCATCTGTACAGTCATTCCTTTCAAGGCAAAGCCAGAATATTCCTGGATGTGTGGCGCCACTAGCGTTTGGCCACAGGACGAGGGGGTATCAGTAGAAGCCCCTCTCCAATGTAAGGTCCACTGGTGATAAGTCAAACCTAGCTCCAGCTCCTGTGGTGTGATTTGTGGAGGGTCAAGGGTCGATCTCCATGGGAACAACCGTGAGGATAGCGTCCTCGTTTCCACGGCGCACAACTATGCTCAAGGTGACGTCCCGCTTGACGGCGGCACTGACGTCAGTCGCTGATGAGATCCTCTGGCCGTTGACCGAGATGATGACATCGTGCTCTTTGAGTCCAGCACTGGAGGAAAGAAGAAGATCAAGACTGAGCAAGGGCTTCATAAATGGCAAGCACTTTATGTGTGAGTAACAGCCGTAATAATATCCATTTTAGTAATCTGGCGCTAATTATCTTAGTAGAGTGACATGATATTCCTGCACAGTTTTAGCCACTAAAGAGGTATATGGGACTGAAAGGTAACACTGGCCAGTGATGATGGCTTCTTCTTGGTTTAAGATGCTGACCATGTCATCACAACATCAGTTTAAGAACAGCTGCATGTCACCCCCATCACTCTCTACCCTCATTTTTTGTCAGCTCTACCCTTTGTAGTATCAAATAAATGCAAAGACGCCACAGAAATAACAACAAAAACAACAACAAAAGGCCAATGCTGTTCTGCATGTGGTCTTATTAAGTATACAGTGTGTAAGAACTTACATTTACATTATTTTCTTATTGTCAGCCAATCCCATGAAAATACCAAAACCATCAATGAATTGACATCAAATATTATTTATGTATTTAAAGCCAGACATATCATATTCCTCTTACTCTTCTGTTGTTGTAAAAAAAAAAAAAAAATTAAAAACTTCCATCGCAAAAAATAGTCTAAAATAGATGCACTATTTACTCCTTTTTGAGGAACATTTGCTAATAAATTTAATGTTTTAGGAATTTGAAACATGAAATTATGTATGACATTCATTCATGTTATTACATCTTCAGTAGAAATCGATGAGCTATCAGTTGAGCATATTGACAGACAGACTAACTCATAATTGGTTTTGGTCTTTTCATTTGTAGACAATAACAAAAACCTACAATATCATCAGTCCGATCCTTCAATGATCAAATATGCTGATTTTATGGCAACGTTATCCCTCTGCTTGCATATTGTGTTACTACAATTTCCTCTTCAGATTTTAGTAGAAATACATTAATTTAATGGCCTACAGATACACGTCAGTTACAAAATAAATCAAGTTATAATCAAGTTATCCTACTGTATGTATGATCTTTATTCAAACAAATCTAACTTGTACTTTGGTCAGGTTTGGTTTGCAGGCCCGTGAGCACAATCGGAATCAACGTTACATCTGTTGTAAGAATTTTAACGGTGAGAACGATGATGATGGGAATAGTAGCACAGCGAGGTGAGAGCGCCTTGCAGATAAAAACATGTTGGCTAAACGTACACCTGTACTAAAAAAACAAACAAACCAGTAAATCTGAAACCACACGCAGACCAGGGGAGCAACAGTGTTGATATCAAAAGAGTACTCTAAATGCGGCTGCTTAATCACAGCCACATGCAAACACGGACCACCACACCTTCACTTGCCACAGCATCCATAAATAGCAGTGCAGCTCGGTGCTCCGCTCATTACACTCAGCTGCTCTAACACCTCCAACACAGCAAACCGATGGTTCTCTACAGCAGGGTTAAGATTTTTTTAAAGGCCACAGAGCAGCACAAAATAGAGCGAGATCAAAAGCGTGAATAAAAGGAGCCACAGAAATGCAATTATTCAGAAAGCAGGGTGATTTATGCAACAAGTAAACTGACGAGGCCCTGTAGGGGGACCCCGCTCTGGAATGGGCTGGGTGAACAGGCGCAGGAAAACCACAGCACAGCCAGTAACCTCCCTGCATGAGGTTTGAAGGAAATAGCTGACCTCAGCGTCTTCCGAGCCCCACTCTGCTGGAGTTGTGGTGGCGGCTGATTGGAGTGGGCTGCGATTGTGGAAGGAGGGGGATATTTTAGAGGGCCAGGCACTCCAGGCACGCAGGAGTGAGCCATGA